CACTAATGCCACCTCTACAACATTCTCAATAAGTTGCAAGTGTCATTCATTATCAAGACAGTGTTCTGTGTAGTAGTGAGTGTATCCCACTGGAGCTAAATGAATTTAAGCATACGTACATTGTTAGTGGGTGCTTCCGTAACCAAGGTAGCTGAAGTGTTTGGTATTTCAAAGGACACAGTATCTAAGATTTTAAACTCATATAAGGAAACTAGAAAAAGTGCATCCACTAAATCACAGCAAGGATGAAAATGTGTGTTGAGTGATCATAATAGACAATTGTTGAAGAGGATTGTGATGAAAAATTAAGAGGCCACAAAAGTTTCTGCTGAATTGAATGCCACACTCACAAACCCTCTCAGCACCAAAGCAATATGAAGGCTCTACAAACAGGATACTTTCAAATGAGCTGCAAATAAAATGCCACTCATCAGTGATAAAAATGTATGTTAGAGGAGAAAATGGTACCAAAATCATAAAACCTGGACTGTGGAGCAATGGAAGATAGTAATTTAGTCAGATAAGTTTAGCTTCACACTTTTTCCGACTTCTGAGTGAGTTTGCACCTAGCAAATGCCATCTCAATCATATGATAAGAGTTTGCTGTCTAACAGTGAAACATGACAGGGTTGGGTCATGGTTTGAGTAGCCACAATGTGGTATTCTGTGGGATCCATCATTACTGTAGAAGGTCCCATTACTGCTAAAGATTATGTGACCATTCTGACTATTACATTCATTCCATGGTATAAATTTTGTTCTCCAATGGTTATGCCGCATTCCAAGGTGACAGAGCTCCTATTCACTCTGCTCTCATTGTCCAGAACTGGTTTTTTGAGGATGAGGATGAACTATCACATCTACCATAGCCACCACCACAGTCACCAGATATTAATATTAAGTCTTGAGGTTTTTTTGGAGAGAAAAAATGGTCTAAGATTCCCTTGCAAAGCATATAAAGGTTCTATTTATCCATTCCAAAAAGAACGCAAACCGTTTTAAATGCCAACAGTTTTCCTACGCCGTATTAGTCACAGCAATATCTTTTTTATTTTGGTGTTGCCATATTTTTGTCCAACCCCCTTTATACCACCAATTTTTGATATAGCTCTTTCAGACTGAACAAACTTAATAAAAAATAATTTGTGGTAAGAGGACTAAATATGTGGCCGCCCAAACAAAAAGCAGAAAGCCAGTGGCCACTTAAAAATTTGGTATTAAATCAGATTTAAAATGGTGAAATTACTTTATTTCTTAAAAAAGCATACTTGTCAACCTACAATATTCAAAAATAAGGAGATTTTTTAAAGAAATTGGAAGATTTTTCTCAATGACAAAAAGATTTTTTAAATGATGAAAATATATTTTTTAATAATGAATTACTTTAAATAGTTAATAATTACTATCTGAAAGTCCAGTTACTAATTCTTACATGTAACAGGTACAAAAATATTCACTTCTAAAAGAACATTATCATTTGCCTTCTTTAACAGAAAAATAATACTTTAATCAGTTTTTGTACAAATGATATGGACAGTGGCAGACTTTTCTTTCATTACGAAAGAATAGGTTCGCTTTCGCTAATAAAAGTTTTTATAATGTGTCATTATTAATATTAGATCTATATTTAGTCTTATTTTTGCAACAACACTGAAAATCCTCTTACACTCTGAATTACTATAGGGAATTGTCAGAATGGCAGCATTATTCTAGACAGTTCAATATACTTTAAAATTCGATCAGCACCTTTCAGTTTTTCAATAAAAACCACTGGGTGTCAATCCTAGCTGATTTTATAACTTTTTAAAACTTTCTAATTGTAATGTGCAAAACTGTGACTGTAATTTATCAGTTGCAATATCAATATGATAGATGTTCATGACTGAATGAAGTAAAACTGGAAATCTATTAAAAAATATCTTATATCAGAAAAAGATGCATTTACTAGAACAGAAACATCGGCAACTTTAGCATATAAAATCCCTTCATCGTTGACTGGAAATTTATGTAGTATGTAATCACATACTCAGGTTAAGTAGTTTCTAATATGGAAATAACACTTATTTTTGTCTTTTTCTGAAAATTCTTCCACCTTTTTTTTAGTTGAAGCCCCAATTACCAAATCTTCATCTTTCTTCCAATTTTCTATTTCCCAATAAATCACATCACACGTAGAATTAGAAGACAAAACAAAGATTGGTCTTAAAAACTTTGATAAAATGTCTTTAAACAGATCACAAATCACTGATTGCAAAATATAAATTTATAAGGTATTTTTCCATCTTCTGGGCGTCCCTTCGTGGTGTAGTGGTTCCGCACGCTGGGCTGGTATTTCAGAGGTCCGTGGTTCGATTCCCGGCGAAGGCGATTGCTCATTTTTCATCTTGCCTGCTTCTAAAAAATACCTAATGTCTCTACAAATTAATGGATTTCTGATTTGTAAAACTGCATTGAGAACATTGAATGATGGCAAAATGAATTGTACAAAAAAGCAAAAATCTTTATTAAGGTCCGAGGACAAAAACATAAATATTCCTTCTTCAGAAGATAAGCTTACACTGCTTACCGTAAGTATTTGGAAAATATTTCCCTTGTTGAGCATTTGTTTTAGTTTGAGAGATATCTGTATCAGCTTTAAGAATATATTTTGTAGTATTATTTTGAGAATTGACAATTAAATTGCTCACTGGTGCAGAAATTAATTAATTTTTCTCAAACCTATTTTTAGCAGTGAAAGTAGTAGTTGCATCTCCATTTACTTTAGGTATTTTATAACTTTTACCTTAACTCTACAAGCGTTTACTTACTACAAGCGTTTTAAAAAATGCCAGTGGATTACATTGGTCGAAGATTCTAGATAAATATTCCTTTAAAGATAGTCAATGTGTACATTCATGTTTCAAAATGTTTCTTCTTTCAGTGTTATGCATCTGTTGGAATTGTTTCAATTTTCCTTTTCTTTTAGAACTCCTTTAAAGATAATAAAAAATATCAACAATGTGTTCATAGCAAAAAATATCAATAATGTGTTCATCCACACTTATTGGTAAAGAAATTTTCCTTTCCTTTTAGAACTCCTTTCGAGATAGTAAAAAATATCAACAATGTGTTCATCCACACTTATTGGTAAAGAAGCTGTTACAGCTGCTAAATTTAAGTAATAATAATTTCAAAATCTGAATTATAACCCCCATAATTTGTAAATCTGAATTTTCCTCTTTAAGATGCTTGCAATACCAGTCTTAAAGCTAACCATTACTGGTGCATTATTAGCACCAAGTGCTAGGCAACTGCTCAGAGGAATTACATTTTCTTTTAAAGTTTTAATAATTAGCTGTGCTATATTAAAGCCTGTCAAATTTCCTTCAAATGTGGGGCCAGAAAGTAAACTAGACTCAATTTCTGGAAACAATGGATTAAAAAAAGAAGCAACAACTGGATACAGTTTTGAATCAGCATTACTGCTTCCATTCATAGACAGGCAGAATGGAATTGTTTTAATGCAATCAATAACTGCAGATTTATTTTTCATACCTTTTTCTTAAACAATTGCAGCCATTTTAGTCCTTGCACTTGAGTATTTCTTAGCAATTTCGTATAGGGAAACATTTTTCTAAATAAAGCTGCAGCATGATCCAAAGCATTCAGTGGCAGGTAGTGCTTTACACTGTGTGTGTTTTTATGCACGCACATGTTTGAGAACATCGGCCCTTCCGTGCGAAATCAAAAAATTGCAACGACAAATGCATTAAATTTCCTTGAGGAAATGATAGAAGGAAAGTGATTTTGAAAAGTACACTGAGATAGGATAGCAATCTTAATTCAGATCACGTCCGGGTCACCAGTGAGTAACGCGTGCCTACAAAAGTATAGATAACCTTACCTAGAAAATAGCAATCAGGCATTTAACATTAAGAATTAGATTTAATAAGGAGAAGTAATATGGATACATAATAATGGCTTAAGGAAGCGTATAGTCCCCACACAGATCGGCGTTACATATCACGTGGAAGGCACAAGACGAGTTATTTCACAGACGCACACACACAGACTGAAGTCGTTACGCAGAACTGCCAGGGAAAATTCTTCTCTTCCCGTCAGCCCGTAGGGTTATCAAGCAGGTTTACTGTTCACCAATTGGCGCTTTTCTCCAGAGTTTTTTGAGTCTGTATCGCCTGTTTGGCGCTGCCGCTACAAGAATTTTACGTTTTTGCAGACATAACTAAAACAAAAGATCGTAATTTCTTAAAAGCACGTGCACTCATACCACTCAGAGACAAGATGAATGAAATAACCCCCTTGATCTTGCTTTGTGCTCATTGGCTAATATATACTAGATGACACATAGTGGTGCCGATGCTCATTGGAGAACTGGAACACTATGTTTTCGGACACGTACTCTCACTCACGAAACAAAAGCATGTCATAATTTCTCACTGATAAAACAACTTTTGTTTTCTTTTATATGTAATCTAAGAAAAAACCACATACTTTTGGACACCTCCAAATCACTTTTTTTTCTTTTTTTTTTTTGTGCAAAGAATGAAGTATTAAGCCATGCTACATAAAAATCATGAACAAATTTAAAAAGAAGATAAAGTCAGGAAAAAAATGTTGTAAATCAGGTTGCCGGGAGAATGATCGGAAATGGGCAGTCTCTCATCTAAATCAGGAGAGTTGGCAACTCTGCAAAGAGACATAATACTGCTATTTTATTAGCGCTTCTTAAAAGTTTTGGTGTAAGTACCTTGACCTAGGATTTCATTTTTACTTTCTATTCACTTGTGTGTCAGCAACATTATATATATATCATATGATAACTACTAATTAAGGAATGACATACTTCAGGAAGATTAATCATGAACATATTACTATTTTTAGGACAGGAGAGAAGAAACATTAAATTCAAAAGAAGATACCACTAATTAAATTTGTATCTTATATATTTGATTAAAACCAATATATGTGTATAGACACACACATATACACACTCATAATACCTTATAAGCAATATGAGTACCAACAGCTGGCATAGATTCTAAAATAGGATACACTGGATATTTATCTTTTCCTTCCACTGCTGCATTTTGTAAGACTCTTTTTTCGTTTTTGCTTTCCTGTAAGGAGATCAAATAATATTATTCTTCTCAAATTGCATAACACACAATACTGTTGAAATAAAAGTTTAATTCAGTTTAAATTATTTACTAACTGTTCAGTCGTTAGATCATTTCACACAAATTTTAATAGTTGTCCAAAGCAATGATTGTTAATCCACGTAAAATTAACCAGAAAAGTTAAACTACACATACAGTTGGTGAGGAAGGGAAAATAGACACAGAATAAATAACATGCACTAAAATTTAAAATATTTAATACTTAAAAACATTAAATTTTATTTTTTAAGTATTTGATCATTAGAACAAAAATATAAAATGTTGCACAGAATTTTTTAAAATAATACTCCCAAAGTTATTCCTCCATTTAAAATATATATATATATAATAATTTATTTCCTAAACAATATTGATTAATTGATTATATTATCTCCTAAGTTTAATTAAAGTAGAATTATTTTAAAAGAGTGAATCCATACTGGTAAGTTATATTTTGAAAGATGTTTTGAAGTAATTTGAAAGCAAAATGTTAATAATGTTTTAACGGGGACTGGAGTTAAATCATCATGAAAAATAAAATTTCAATTGTAAAAGGAAAAATTAAAAACATGTAATCATTGTCATTGATTGGAAATTAGTTGACTTTTCAAGGGGAACAAACCAACTCCCGTTCAATGAACAATAATTGATAAAAATACGTAAATACAAAGGTGTTTCGTCTTTACTCGAGTTATAAGTTAAAGCCAAACCGGCAATTCTAGTCAGGTCCAAATATTTCCGCGAATAGAAGGGATTATGAACCAATGCTGATACTCAAAGAACTTATTCTTATGAAGCATTTTAGTCAATTCAATTTGGAGTAAAAAGCAATTTCTGTAGAGAAATCCGAAATAACCCGAGTAACCGTCCCCGACACCTTCATGTTTATGCATTTGAGTTCTATATTATTTGTAAAAATTAAGCATTGGAATTTGTCATTATGAAATCGAATTCAAAGTAAAGTTGAAATAAACATAGAAGATTACAAAATAAGATAAATAATGCAAACTTTGTAAAAACAAATCAAAGACAATATAAAAATAATATAAAAAAATATAAAAAATAATATATAATATATAATAAGAACAGTGAATGTACATGAAGATATAAAGGCCAGAAAAGGTATTAAGTAACTTACATTCTTTCTAGTGGGGGAGTTGGCAAAGTGTTCTCTTCGTGTCTGACTCATAAGTGTAGGGTGTCCGAAAATTCTTAGCGGCAGCGGGGGCTTTGAATAATATCAGTCGGTAAGACTTGGGTGAAGTAATTTATGGTAGTGGGTGGGACTCGGAATTCTTGAGGGATGTATTATGTGGAGTTCTTATTTGAGTGAGACTGTCTGTTAAGATTTTTTTGAAAATACTAGTGAATGGAAATTAATTAATTTCTGGCTAATTGTCGTGTCACAATGATTAAAAATTTAAGAAAGGAAAAAAGGAATTTTCACTGTCCAAGAGCTATTAGACACACTAAAGTCATGAAATAGGCCCATTTTTTTAGTAACAGTATAAGTCTGACGACACTTAGCTTTTTACAATATATACAATTGAGTAATTACACTATATACAAATCCTTCAACTGACAGTCATCCAACTTATACCGCCTTCTCAGGTTTAGGAACAAATTATCATATCCCTATCAGTTAAATGATTTAGAGTGAGTATTTAACGCCTGCTCTTTTAAGGCAATGGTTGATAAATTGAATGGGTATTAGATTATTTTTGAGAATTTTAATAAGGAGCAAAATTTCACATTGTAAATCTATTGTATCTGTGCATATAATTTTAATTCGTTGTATTTGATTAATTATAGTATTGTTAATTACTTTTTTGGATATGTTGGAGTTCTAATTTATTAATTTGTTAGTATTGAAATTCAAGTTTCTTGTTTTGTCAAAAAGTAAAATTTTTTTGTAGTTAATGCTATTTTATGAATTATTAGTTTTATTAAGTGTAAGACAATTCGGATAAATCTCGGAGTGTTCAATTTTACCAAAATTATTAATTGTAATAAGGTTATCAATATATCTGTAGGTGTGTTTATAGTAATTTAACTCTTGTGGTTGTAGATTTTTTTGGAAGTTAAATTCTTTGACAAATAAAAAGATATTACAGATCGAGGTGCTGGAATGTAAGCCCATTGGCAATCCTCTGACTTGTTTAAAAAGTTGATTTTGAAACTTGATGTAGTTATGAAAAAGTGTGCATTTTAGGTAGGTTTTCCATTTGTCAAGAGTCATGATATTGAGCATATCAGGGAAGAGTTTAGGTAGATCAAGTAGACTGGTATAGATTTCTAGAGGAAGTGAGGTATATAAGTTTTCAAAGTCATAGTAGTTAATGTTTTGGATGTTAATGGTTTGAATGGTATTAATGACAGGAGTGTTATTATGAATGATCCAGCAATAGTTATGATTAGTGTTACAATCATTGAAAATAAATTTACAGATTTTATTAAGTTGAATTGAAAAATAATAGTCTACATTTTTCTTGTAATTATTAGTTCCATTAGCTATAAATCTGAATTTTAATGGTGTTTTATGGAATTTGGGAATCACATAAAGATTAGTAAATCTGTTGTAGTTTGCATTGAAAGTAATATTGAGTTTCTTATGAAAAGTTTTAATCCTGTTTATTATAGATGTTTCTGTAAGGTTGGCCAATTGATAAGTAGTTGCGTTGAAAAGTTCTTTATGAATAATTTCTGCGTAGAATTGTTTACATATAATGCTAAAGTGATTAGTTGTTTTATCTATTTTTGTAATAGTAAAAAGCTGTTTTAATTTTTTAATATCTGATGTAAGTTGCGACCAATTCAGTGTACTTTTAAACTTGAGGTGACTGATTTCGGTGGATATGCGTTGAAGAATTTTAGCTTTCCATTTTAAGAAGGTATCTATGGGTAAATTCAGTTAATAGCTTGCTTTAACTATAAATTCGTTGATGATGTTTTCGAAAGTCTTGTAACAGTAATTTGTAGTCATGTTTCTGACCGGTCTAAATTTTGTACCATAACTAATTAGTGTTTTTAGTTGATGGTTTTGTATGATATTCAGGTTGCCAGTAATTATGTGCTGGTGATGAGAATCTACATAATTGCTGTAAATTGGTGTCTTACAATGTCATTCTGCTGTTTCATCTATTTCATGGTGGTTAGTCAGCAAGTTGCTTAAGGTCCTTTGATATTTAAATGCAACCATTGGTATTGTGTCGACTGCAGGGAAGTAATCTTTACAATCTCTGATGATTCTTGAGAAATGAATATTGTCAAACTGTGGATGCAGAAAATTGACTTTAAAATAAATTTTGCATTGAATGAGACTATTAGAGAGTCTGAAAAGACTAAAATCGAGAATCATGTCTTTAGTGATTTGTATGTCGTCGTAGCTTTCTTGAATGAATTTTTTAGTTTGATAAGGAATTTATTAGTACAGGAGTGTAACCAGTTGAGAAGTTTCTTGGGAAAGTTGTCTGAGTCAAAAAAACATTTCAATTGTTTTTTCAATGCAAGTGTATCCAAAGTGGATAAAAATCTCGCATTATTTTTTATTTTGCTTCCTCTTTTTCCTCTCTGCGTTTTGTTGCTGTAGAGCTTAAATTGGCTGAAAAATCTTCTTAGAAGTATCTCTATGACCATGTATATAAGTGTTAAGTCCATATGGATAAAGTGAACGTTGTTTTAGTATATAGAAAGATTCCTGAAAAATTCGTGTTTTGTGATTGGGTATTATATCTAGTATCTGAAGTTGAACAGAGTTGAAGTCATGGTGACTTATTTTAATGCTATTTTTTTGTGCGCTGAATTTTTTTATTTGAGCTCTATGGTTATTGATGCGAAAGTTAAGATTGTTTTTAGTTTATCCTATATATTTAATATGTCAAGTGCCGCATGTAATCATGTAAATACAGTTAAACGTTTTTCATAGAAATTGTTTTTTGGGTTTATCTGTAGCAGGCATGGTGTTAAATTTTCAAGTTTGTCATCTAGTGGAATGACATTTAATGATTTCAATTTGAGATAAACTAGCAAGATATAAAAGTAAGGAGGCTGCTAACCTTCAATACAGTAAAGTTTTTGTATAAGAACTTTAAAACTTAAAAATTAAAATATTAAAAAAGAATGGAGATAATATATAAAAAGTATATTAGGCAAGAGATAAATAGCGCTAATAGCTGCTATTTAGCATATCAAATGTTGTATGATCATAAGTAGCACAAGCAGCAAACAAACATAAATTTGGAACACATACGTCAGATATATTCAAATAAAACAGTCAAATTTTGTTGAATAACTTTAATCAAAAATATAATTAGAAAGAAATAATTTTGAAAGAATGTATACTTTTGAAACTCAGGCTATGAATGCATGCTTTTGATCTAGTGTAATGGAATATGTACAATAGATTACACATCAATTATTTCTTAACAGGTATGTGTACAGGGCTTGGGTAACCTTTTAAAACACTAAAATGACTAACTTCAGATTCTGCAACCAGTGTTAAGTCTCTTACAGAGTAATATTTTCTATTCATTTCTGAGCAGAAATTTAATATATATCTCCTCTTCTTTTTGCTGGGATATTTAGGCAGAATAAAAGTCATACCACTATAGCAATTTGCTCCACATATATTGTATGACCATTAATGGTTAAAGAAGACTAGCTATATTTCATAAAAGATTATATAAAAAAATAAATATTCTTAGGTAATTGAAGGGAGAAAGAAATATAAAGACTGAAATTTGAAAACGTTAAAGATATGGAGTTTCATGCTACTGTACAAATAATAAAGTACAATAAAAGTAACTAATACAGTTGCAATTTAACTGAATAACAAAGTTAGCAATAAATTTGAAAGCAATTACATAACTGAAATGTAACCTTACTTTATGTACATTAGCTTCTTCTGATGAAACAGTATTTGATATAGGTGTCATATCACAGTGACCATAATTCATATTGTTTAGCAAAGTTGATGTGAATACTTTAGGAGAAATACTGGGAACGTCAACTGATGAATCAATGGATTTCTGAAATTTCTTCTTAGTTAATGTAATAGCCATGTCAGAAGAGATTTCAAGATTGTTATCAGCAATAAATGATTCGGAACTGATAGCATTTTCTTTACACAAGTTCTTATTACGGTCAGGGCTAGGTGATGTATATCGTATGTGCTTACTGATACCCAAAGAATTATGATTTTCCATGAAATTTTGTGGCATAAAATTTGGGTCCGCTGATGAATTTTCTAAAAGAGATATACCAAGAACATCAGATGTACTTTTCCGCTTCTTATTTCTCTTACGCTTTCTTTTACGTTTTATTTCTGATATTTTATCATTTGGAAGTGTTTGACCAGTTTCAGATAGAATTGTATCAGGTACTGAGTGAAGCACATTATCTGTATCTATATTTTTAATGTCAGAGCTACCTTGCTGGAAATCTTCGAAAATTTCTGTGGAATCACCATTCTTACTAGGGCTTTCTAATATAATTAATGGACTAACTAAATTTTCTTGTACATCTTTACTGTGTGATCTTTTTTGTTTTTTTATTTTGCAACTACTACTCATTTCTGAATTCAGGTTAGTAACACTGTTATCAGGATCATCATTTTTTCTGTGTTTTTTTCTCCTGGCATCTGATGATCCATTAATATTTGGATCACTACTCATTTCTGAATTCAGTTTGGAAATATCCTTGTGTAGTAGATCATCCCTTTTTTTACATTTTTTTGGTGCCGGTTCTGAATAATCACCAATATGCTCATCTTTCTTTATCTCTGGACTTAGCTTAGAAGTACTAGCATAGAGATATGATTCCTTATCTCTATGACGCTTTTTTTTCTTATGAGTTGGCACATCAACAACAGATTCTTCGCAACTTTTTAAAACAGACCTTTCAAGCTTTTCTCTCTCCCAACCGTTTGTTCCATTCAAAACTGTGTAATATTTGTCTCCATACTCAACCCTAAAAATAGTTAAAGGTGTATTCAATTAAAACGTAGCCAAAATTTAAATATATTTAAAACTGGAAAAGCTAAATTTGAATTACATATGCATATTGCACTACATGAGCTAAAAATATACACAGATATAAATTACACATAAATGACCTCTCTCGATATTCGGAGCCATTAATTATTTCACATTAAAAACTCACATTTTCATTTTAAAATCTCATATTTTATGTAATATTAAATGTTAGAAAACTTTTAGATATGTCGTTCTCAACCATTTTTTTTTTTTTTTTTTCTGTCTCACTACCCTATTTACAATGCATCAGGTTATCAATTCTGAAACAAAATGAATCAAATGCAGCATTGTGCAACATTGAAAATATTTCATTTTTACATACTAAAAGATACATATGAATTTGACGATTACTAAATAAACAAACATCTCCATTGTTTTTGCTATGTTTACAAGATGCAATTGCAAAATTAATGAAAAAGTGGAGTAACTGATTTAGATACTATAAATAAAATTTCAACATTATGTTATATAATTGTATCTAAGACTTAAGACATTACTTTATGTCATTTTTGGTGCAAATGGTGGCCAATGATCATGTCCATACAAATTAAATCAAGTGACAAAGATTGTTTTGGTTTAAAACACGTCCAACAGCCATGTCAGATAACTTGGATTTACTTATATATTTGGAGATTAGTATTAGTGAAGAGGTGATGTACACATCAACCTATTTTCACTTAAAAAACAACCCCAGAATTTCAAAAATATGGCACTGTGCACACCCTTTACTTTATCTATGTACATATCGATCTATTTTCACTTAAAAAGTAAAAGAAAATTGACAAAAATCTAATTGTTTTTACCCTTGTAAAAAGCGACAAACAAATAAGTGGGTGATTCTGCACTTTACCAAGAATTTTTTCAAAGAAAAGGCATCATTCATTATAGAAAATTATGTTTGAACAACCAACGAGATGAAATTATGCTTTAATGATAACTCAGTAGCGAAATAACGACGCAGGCATCCATTCAGTTGTATTTAGCAATTTTCATATAAAATAATGATCTGAAATAGTTATTTACTCTTATGCTTCCATTCAGTCACGTTTAGCCTTTTCTATATAAATTATAATAATAAAAAAGTATTACAGTCAAGAGCCTTTAATCCGGACTCGTCGGGACTTCGGCGATTCCAGATTATAGACCATCAATTTAAATCTGGTAAGATGGCATGCAGAAATTATAAAATGAAAAACATGAAACCGTACTTTATAAAATAAAGAGCAATTATGATCTAAAGGGTATCAAAATTTACAAAAAAAAAAAAAAAAAAAAACTTAATATTTATTTGTTTACTTTATTAAACATTTCTTTCAATGCACGCAGCGTAAAGCATACATTACGCATAGGCAAAATTAGAAAATTGCAACCAGAAAACTATTTGATTTGTATTCGTGATATTTATAATGACGAGGAATTTGATTTAAATCATATCAAAGACGGAGTACATTGAGATGAAATACTACATTTAGTAAGGAATTATAAGCCAAATAAAATAAAAACATCTGCCCTGAAGATAAGGATAGTGCTGACAGATCAACTTCCAGTTCATTGAGTGCTGCTACGTCCCACCGCCCCCGGCAGAGCAGTGTGAAATTGATAAACAGATTTTCAGAATGATTAGATAAACAAAGGATATGCCTTTAAAGATTTTTTGCAGCAATTCCACTTTTTGTTTAATGGACATCGAAACATGCTTTCGCTTTGCAGATCCTTTGGCAGCTCCAGAATCAAAAAAAATTTTTTTTGACATAATTGAAAGTTCAAGCTTAATTTTATAAAATTGCTCTAACAGTCTGCAAAAAATAATAAGCCGGATCAAATTCGAAGATTAAGGAACAATGCAATCTGCAACATTAACTGAAATAGATAATTAGGTAATTTTAGCCTAGCTTATACCGTCCGTTATACATTAAACGCGCATGCCTAAAGGTATTATGTGCATGCATAAACGTGTACAAACTTTCTGCACATGCGTAAATGCATTCCGCGTTTACGCATGCGCAGAAAGTTAGTAGCTTTGAGGTCTGATTATAGATCATTCCAGATTATGGACGTCCAGATTAAAGACTTTTGACTGTATATGAAATTAACCTTTCATCTAAATTAAAACATCAATATGAAATTAACTTTTTACCTAAATTAAAACATCAATATGAAATTAACCTTTCATCTTAATTAAAACATCAATCTTAGATAGTTATTTACTAATTTACTTCCTTTCTTGAGTTAGGGTTGCCACAAAATTTTTTGGCAGCACTGGCAACAATAGTTTGGCAATTTTTTCAGCCCTCAAAACTGAATAGTATTTTAAAAATTTTTAAATTATGATGACAATCTTATAAGCAAGGAGACATTCGAAGTCATATGCCTGTAAAATTTAAATTTTCAAGTGATAATAAATATGTTAACTTTAAAATGTTGTTTAATTTTGGGTTAATCTTTGGATTATGGTAACTTGGCGATTTTTTGGCGACCAACCCTGCTACAGCAACCTGCAAATTTCGTTTTGGACGCCATTTTGTTTTCACGAAGTAAAGGCATGCTTTTTTTTTTTTTTTACTCAATATTTTTTTTTCAACAATCTGCTAGCCGAATCACGTTTATACTAGAACTGGTACAACTCTGATATACGCTCTAATTACACCAAATGTGGCGATATGTGTTCTGCGCTGGTTTTTGGCACGATTGCGTGTTCTATGGCAACCCTGTTGACGTTGAACAATCTTTAGCTGGAGCTCGTTGATTCGCGTCTGTGTCTGAGAAGATGGGAGGGAAAGATAAAGAAGTTGTTGAATTGAAGTTCGGCAAAAGGAAATATCATTGTGGCCATCCTGTTGAGGGGTAGTGGGTATTTGGAGGTGTGGAAGGAGGGTCTGGGAGATTATTTTTAATGCCTGTGCATGATAGAAGTAGGGATTTGTGATTTTATTTATTTGTGAACCATAGTATGAATTTTCTGGAGTGTGTCTGGCTGTCATGTAAATACGATAGTGATTACGTGGCGGTATGAAATTGGCATTTCTGCTGCTCGAAAAAGCATTAATTCATAGTAAGTGCATTTTATTTTATTCTTGTTCTTATTTTGTAGAATGTTATGTTCATTGGTTATTTAGTATGAATTTCTGTCGTTGTTGTTGTTTTCGAAACAAAACGCTGTGTACATGGTATTATTTGAAATTTATTGTTATTATGTTATTTTACTAAAAGCGGAGGTGTGTGTAGATCATAGATTCGTTCCTTGCCTAAATTGTGCAATTCATACATGTTTTTTGAAGTTTAAACAGGATGCTGTGTACACAGTATTCTTTGAAATTTATTGTTATGTTAATTTATTAAAGCGAGGTGTGCATAGTTCGTAGTTTCGTTCCTTGCCTAAATTGTGCAATTCGTAGATGTTTTTTTAAGTTTAAACAGGATGCTGTGTACATGGTATTCTTTGAAATTGATTGTTGTTATGCTAATTTATTAAAGCAAGGTGTGCGTAGTTTGTAAATTCGTTCGTTGCCTACATTGTGCCATTCGTAGACTTTTTTTAAGTTAAAACGTGGCTGTGTGCATGGATTCTTGTCAAATATTTTTGGTTAGAAACTTTACGTTTTTGCTATCTAAATTTTTTGTTTCGGATTTTTAGCTTAAATCGTGTGTTCAAAACGTAGTTTTTGCATGTGCGAAAACCGTGTTTTTGGAGACATTTTAGGCTTAAAGTTCGAAATATAAACAAAAAATTTAGATAGTAATATGGCAGCGTGAAGTTTCTCGCCAAAAATGTTTGGCGAGAAATTTGGCGACTTGAGGGCGCATATCAGAGTAGTTTCCTAGAACTTTTATGGAACAAAAATGCTTAATAATGACGAATATAAGTTGCGAAATTGGGAGAAAGTGCAGAATCGCAAACTGCTTGCCGCGTTTTTAAGCATTCCAAATACACGGTATCCATGTACACGTCGACCTATTTTCACTTAAAAAAACATCCCAGAATTGCACAAAAATGGCATTGCGCACACTCTTGACTTTATCCATGTACACTGCTAAAGTCCTAGCTAGTAACCTTTAATGCCTTACCAAAATGTCGCCAAACTACCTGTTTCCATATTCCAAAGATTAGCCTAATTTTGTTTTCTGAAACATAAAATTATGTCATACATTTAAATTCTATATAATCAGTACTATTTTCAATGTCATTTATTTAATTTTGGCTGATGAATCAAAAACATTAGCAACGAATATTTTTACCCCGAATTTTTGATGGAGTTATCTTCAGAATTAGTGAAACCACATAATAGAGGCTTCAAAAGCCAACTTGAACCCAGAAATAAAAATTGCATTCAGAGAGTGCTAGGAGTTTCCAGCAGAATCTATAGCCCAGATGTAACTGACACCCATAAAAAGCATAAAACATGCTTTTTTTTATCCCCCTAGACTGAGAAGAAAAACTACCTATCTATGTTTCAGCTTCAAGAATTCGGTATGTAATGAACATGCCAAGAGAATTTGTAAAAATTCTGTTGAAAATGCTTAAAATAATATGCTGCAGTTTTTAAATATTCTTTATATATTATACTTTTGTATATTTATATAATCCAGATTCTGTAGATGGGAAATTTATTAAATAATTTAGTTTGTACGCATTTGCAAGTAAATTGTGTTTATTTTATTTATTTGATTAAGTGTTCCGTACTTTTTCATATGTAATTTAAAAATTATTTTAGAGTTTTAAAAAGAATTAATTACTTCAATATAACAAGCAAAAAAATTATTAACGCTTATATAATAATAATAGTACATTATTTTAAAATTTTACACTTTTAAAATGCATAAAATAGAGCACGGTTTGAGAGAACTTTCCTTTCTGTTTACGTACCAGAAAATGAAAGTCTGTACTTTATGGGTCATGAAGGTGTTTTTCTCGAGTGGTTAACAGAGTACATCCCGACATTTGTGTTATAATTATTCATTTAAGAACTGGTTGTCATGATAATTTAATGTAATAAATTGTTCTATGATTGGTTTCAGAAAAGTATTTGGTTTAATCCTAGTATTCGGTGCACAAGGGACTTGGCTACTTTTGGCAACTTTATGATGGGCAGTAAACGGGACATATACGATGAGTAGTTAAACGCGTCAGTACTTTTCCGTTTTGCCGGCGCAAACGATAAAGTCGCCAATAATGGTACAACTGATGTCAAGTGGAATATCTTAGCTGGTAACCTTTTACACCTCATTTTCAAAACAAGTCGCAGCCATTTCTTACCAGATTGATTCTTTCTTTCAATACTGGCATACAATTAGATAGAAAATTTACAAAGATAATAAAATTTTATACCCTAAGACTATTCGCGGTAATTAAGTCAATTAGGATGCAATCACACCGCTCGCCCATAGGCGAAAATATTGAAAAGGCAAAGTCAAGGGTTAAATTCATCAATTCTAATGAGAATGCACTAGCGAAGTAAAGTACTATGGTTTTACATAATTTCTCAGTAAGCTATTTGTAGGAATTGAAATAATTCTTGCATTTAAACGTGTATTCCAAATTAAGATTTAACTTTAAATTAATGTAGATAATTACTGAGAGAATTATATTTTTGTAGCGTAGTTTACGTGAGATGAGATCACTTGTTGTCACGTGATACAAACCGGCAAATCAGGACGTTGAACCATGATAGCATAGTAAATTCTTAAATTGTCTTTTTACAAATTTATTGTCTTTATTATTACAAATTATAAACCATATTAAAATGTTTATGCCTTCAAAATAAAAAATTATAAGAACTAACATTTGTTAACATTTTTTATATGTATACTGTATGTTGTCGCCAACAAAGTCTGCTTGGCGAGATTTGCGCCGGCGAAGCGGAAAAGTAGCAACGCGTCATTTTGGTGTTGGCGATAACTTTCAAAATTGCGCCAAGGCCGTATACTAGGATTTTATTAAGTATTTTTCAAGGAATGGTCATTTTAGGGAAATATGGCCTTAAATCAGTTTTATAATTGCTGACTTTAATAGGTACTCATCTTAAGTCATTTCACAAAGACAAATAATTTTTTTAAAAAAAAAGTTAGTTTTTTTGATGTTTAGTTTATTTTCACACTATCAATTATTTTCTTAAGGCAACAACACAATTACCATTTTTGCTCTTGTAATGTTGTGGTACGAATGGTATAAGTGAAGAAAAACAATTACATTATTATTTATTTTCACTATCCCTAGCTTCCTTTCTTCTCTGAAAGTTCATTCAGGAACTAAGGGTTGTGCAGTAACCTATTATGTCACCATCACATTAACCTGGCCAATTTTCCCCACAGCTGAACATGGATCATCATGAAATTTATCCAAAAATTGCTATTTTACATTTGAAAGAAAATTTATAAACATTAGCAAAATGTTCTAGCAAGAAATCTGCAAGACATGATTATAATGATAACACAATCGGTTTTCTTTTGAAAGTCTACCCTGAAGATATCTCTCTTAAAATAAACAGTCCTCGTGTGCTTTGCCATAATCAATTAACCAAGTAACCAATCTAAAGATGAAGTGTGTCAATGCAATCAGGAAAATACTTTTAGTATGAGGTACAGCAATGACAGGATAAAAACTATTGCTATAACTTATGTTGAAGGACTGAGAACCAAATATTCCATTACAGCAGGTATAAATTCTCTGCTGATACCGGATGCATTTTGAGAATAAAATCCTTCATAAGCTTTCTACACCTAGTACAAGTTAAGGAATTTTAAGATATTTAAGAATTCTTATCATCTCATTAAACTTACTTTACGGTATCGTTTTCTCTCAAAATGATTATTTTCTCATCTTCTAAAAGCAAACCATCTTTCACAAAGAGTTTTATATCTCTATTTTCAAAATTCAGTTTTGTATACAAAGAGGACTTGAAATCTCCAATAGTTTTCAGTTCACGTGGTGAAACATTAATCCATACATATTTAAAACCTTCAATATTTAATTCAGTCAAATCAAGAAGCACTCTAAATGGATTATCAAACATTATGTCAGCAAAAAAAAAAAAAAAAAATGTTACAGCAAGCTATAAACAAAGAATTCATCAATTAATTAGACATTACGCAATACCACGGAGTATCAGTACACTCCGTGCACAATACATCGAAACATAAACAATGCGCCTAAACATCATTCAGATTCGATTTTTAATCATTTCACTTCATTGGAATTAATAGGAGTTTTTAAATCAATTTCATAAATGCGAATAAAAAATCAATGGCCAAATTTTCTTCGACATTCAGTAACGTGAAAATGTTTTTTAAAAGCTAAAAATATAATAAAATTCATTCAATGTTTTTCAATATAAAATTAAACACTTCAACTATAATCTCAAGTGCAAATAAACATTTGCCGGCTATTTTGATTTGAGTTTGAGTTTGAAATATTGATGGGAAAGAATAAAAAAGGACAGGATAATTATGAAAGAATATGTTTCCTGTTCGAGGTAAATTTTATTACTTCAGTTATTACCGAAAAATTCAAAATTCTTTTAAAATGCATTCATCGTTTATTTTACACTTCTCGAAGGAAAATGTTTTGCTTTTCACGTTATAAACAAATCATAGAATAGCTGACCATATTTCGTGAGACAAAAACGAGTGTCTTGTTTTTCCCGATAAATCCTGACGAAGAAAGATCACAGAAAATGATTTATATGATAAACACTTAGATGTTGAATTTACTTTTAATTTTCATAACAGAACTCGTACGAAAATTTAGATGTGAAAATAACACTTAGATGTGAATTATCTTTCGTCTTCATTGTAATGTTATGAACATTCCTCTGATAAAGTTATTCTTCCTGGCATTCTGATGTTTGCATACCTTATCATGAACTTCTCATTCTTCATGACATAAATTTTTATCAAAATCTAGCATAACACTGTCTCAGCTTTCAAGATTTGGTAAAATCCTGGTATACGGTGCAGCCTTGGCGCGACTTTGAAAATTATCGCCAACACCAAAGATCCAAATAACGTCTATATATATATATTTACTATACACATAGTATATATACTATATACAAAGCATATACTATGTTTAACTGTATATTTTCTTTGAATGACCCGTTAACTACTCAATCGTATATGTCCCGTTTTTACTGCTCATCATAAAGTCGCCAAATCCCGTGTGCACCGGATAATAGGATTAAACCCAAGAATTCTCTTTTGACTATATACTATTCATAACAAGATATGTTTTCATTAGGTGTTATATTTCCTGTATTTTTGTTAAGATCGAACAATGTACTGATAGAAAATTTGCTCACTTCAAGATACAGGAATGTTCTCTTTATTCCAGAGAGATATAAGTGTCTCACATTTTGTGTAATTTTGTGAACACTGAAGGTATTAATATTATCAGTCAAACCCTATACTTATCCTGGCTTTCACAATACTGGTATACAGTTACGGATTATGGAGAATAATTCAGGATTATCCACTAAAAGCATATTTATAACTTTTAAAAACAGGACTATCATTTTTATCAAAATGATGGGTCAGCCATGAAATATGGGAAATGTAGTACTGTGCTGTTCAAAATAATGTATATGGCCATAAGAAAGTTATCAGTTTTATTAATCTGATTCTTAAATTACCTAGAAAAAGCAAAATTTTTATATATTTAATCTTTTGTTGTTATTGTTAACAATGTGTTCTTTTAGTGCCGATCTGAAATTAATGTACTGTAAAGTACTGTGGGTGCAAATTTTATGTGTGCCAAAAGTGGAACTTGAACTAGCCAATTTCTATTTTCTCAAGTATTAAAAACATCAGAACCAAAGTGTATGTTATAGATTAATGTTGCTAAGATGTTAAAGTGCTTTAGCATATAGTTTATCTGGTAATCATTGTTTAATGTTAAATGTTCTGAAAATCCCATTTAATAATTTCTTTTTTCAACTGATAACTGCATATAACTTTGTATTGTGATTTCCTCAAGGGGGCTGTCAAGGAAAACGCCAATATATCTTGAATTTTAAAAATTACAAAACATTTGTTTAAAAACAAAATATGTTCATGTCTAGAATTTTGGTGCATTATTAGAATTCTCTTTATTCAAGATTTTAAGAATTTTTGGATGAACTATGATAATTAAAATGCATTGAAATGGTTCATCGGCTTATTCTGGATACAGAATTTGTGGAAGAGAGATTTCAGTGTTCAGTTAAAGTAGAGAGAAAGGTACCGCTTGTATTATCGTGGAGTTGTTTCATTTATTGCCAAATTGTTGTTTCATTTATTGCCAAGTGGTGGTTTATTTATGGTAGCCTGAGTAGTTGAATGTGATGGAAACCCTATTATGACGTAATTGGTTGCATGATTGCAGTGATTTGTAAGGGCTTGTCGTATGTGTTGGTTAGGAAGTAAATTGCTTGTTTTCTGGTTTAGATGGTAAAATGGCTGGGTAGAGTAGACTTTAAGGTACCCCTTGTATTATGGCGAAGTTTTTGTTTGATTTATCGCCAAGTTGTTGTTTCATTTATGGTAGCCTGAGTTGTTTCAATGTTATGGGAACCCTATTGTGACGTAATCGGGTGCATGATTCTGCGAAATTTTGAATCATGATATGTGTTGTAAGCGTTTTTGTGGTGTGTGTTGGTTTGATTCTTTAGATGGTAGAATGTCCGAGTGTAGTAAGATTAATTTGAAGTTTCTGTACGATTTGGTGCGAAAGCGGAAAAGAGCTTTAATTGACTTATGTGTAAATGAAGGTGTGTACTTAGTAGCCATTATAAGTGTCCTGTATGTAGGAAGGATATGCGTCTAGTCGAACGTAAAAACCGTTTAGGTGGATTTGAATGGGTTTGTAGGAAGAAAGGTTCACATGGTCACTATGTGAAGCGTTCGATCAGAAAGAGTACCTGGTTTGAAAAAAGTCATTTGAGTATGATTGATATTTTGATTTTTACGTGGCTCTGGGTGTACAAAGCGAACTCGAAAATCATGGTAAGTGAATATTTGCTTTTGGTAGTGTTTAAATGTATAACATGTTTTTCCTTTTTTTATGTTATTTTATTGTTTGGTTTAAAATGTATTTCATTGAGGTTATGTATTTTTTATTTTTTGTTTGCCTATATTGTAGAATTTGGTGCTTCTTTGACTTTTTAAGTGAAACTATATATCGATGTGTATGAACAAAGTAAAGTGAGTGCGCAATGCAAGTTTGTGCAATTCGGAGATTTTTTAAAAGTGAAAATAGGTCGATGTGTACATGGATAAAGTCAAAGGAGTTCACAATGCCATTTTTGTGCAATTCGAGGATTTTTTTTTTTAAGTGAAAATAAATCGATGTGTACATGGATACCGAGTTTGCGCAATTGTTTGTCTTGTTATTTTAGCCTTGTGTAGCAGCGATTTTGGGGTCAAAAATTGTCGCTACGCAAGCCAAAATAACGAGTCAAAAAATTACACAAAATCAGTATCCATGTACCGCCAAAAATCGCCAAGTTTCGCCAAGGGGTACCCTAAACTTTATACTTTTACCAAATGGCTGAATGAGATAAGATTAATTTGAAGTTTCTCTACGATTTGGAAAGAAAGAGGGAAACAGCATTATGTGACTGGTGTGTAAATGTAAAGTAGTACTTAGTAGACACTTACGTAGTAGACATTATTAAGTGTCCTGTTTGTAGGAAAGAAATGCGTATGGTTGGAGGATACTGCATTTTGGAGAATATTTTTTACTCTTATTTTGCGAATTTGTATGGCAATACCAGTATACAGATTCTAGTTCAGATAATTTTAGGAAGTTTTTGGATGCTGATAAGGAATTTTGTTTGACTGAAGATGTGTTAATTCATAAATAAGGTACGTGGATATTTCCTTTGTGTAGTGCAAAGATGAATTTTTTTTATGTTATTTCATTGTTTGATTTAAAATGTAATTCATTGATATTATATATATATTTTGTTGGCTTTTAAGTGACTTTTTAAGTGAATATAGTTCAATGTGTACATGGATAAAGTCAAGGGAGTGTGCAATGTCTAGTTTGTGCAATTCTCTGCTTTTTTAAGTGAAAATAGGTCAATATGTACATGGATAAAGTCAAGGGAGTGCACAATGCCAAGTTTGTTAAATTCTGGGATTTTTTTTTAAAGTGAAAATAGGTCGATGTACACATGGATACCAGTTTGTGCAATTCTTTGTCTTGTTATTTTGGCTTTGTGCAGTGCTGATTTTCGGCCACTATACAAGTCAAAGAATTGCACAATCTCGGTATCCATATGCCGCCAAAAATTACCAAGGGATACCCGTAAATAAACTTTTATCCAATGGTCCTCCTCCTGACGAAGTGCCATTGAGGTTGATTGAATTCCTATTCTATTATGATCTTTATTCTTTAAATTTCATTGGTTTTTTTTAATTGGGGTATTGCTTCTTTGAAGAGGTTTGGCTGTAACATTTATTAAATTCTTTATTGCATTTATAGGATTATTTGAAGTTTATTACAATTTTTGGTCTTTGTGAAAAATTGGCTTTAAATTTTTTTAATTTATGTCTTTATTGAATTTTAGAAATATGTAAATAACACAACTATATTTTTAGTTCACTATTTAAATTGTTTAACTGTAACTTAAAGTAACCCAAAAAAGTATACATGTTTTAGTACAGTTATAGAAATTTCTGGCTAATCTTTGGAATATGGTAACAGGTAGTTTGGCGACATTTTGGTAAGGTGATAAAGGTTACTAGCTAGGACTTTAGTAGTATACATGGATAAAGTCAAGAGTGTGCACAATGCCATTTTTGTGCAATTCTGGGATGTTTTTTTAAGTGAAAATAGGTCGACGTGTACATGGATACCGTGTATGTGCAATTCTTAAAAACGCGGCAAGCAGTTTGCGATTCTGCACTTTCTCCCAATTTCGCACCTAATCTTCGTCATGATTAAGCACTTTTGTTCCATAGAAGCTCTAGCATAAGCGTAATTTGGCTAGCAGATTGTTGGGAAAAAAATGCTGAAGGGGGGAAAAATGCCTTTGCTTCGTGAAAACAAAATAGCATCCAAACAAAAACTAGCAGGTTGCTGTAGCAGGGTTGGTCACCAAAAAATCGCCGAGTTACCATAATCCAAAGATTAACCAAATTTCTTTTTATTCTTAAGTAAAT